GAAGACACAAGAAGTCAACAGTATGATGGCCCTTGCCTCAGGAGGACAACTGTATCAACTCTATCAATTGTCAGACGAAGGACGTCATGCCACGTCACATGACCTCTGGAAAAATCCACAGCACAGTCATGAAAGAACAAGAGTACAGAAGGCCAAGAATGTCTTCGCAGGATTATGAAGATGGTTTTGACCTCACGGACCTCTCCAAAGGGTCTCAGAAACCCTAGCGTCATTAGATCATTCTTTGAGAACTGCCAACCTAGAAGATGAGCCCATACTCCAGGGCAAGGTTTCCAGAGCCTGGATAACTTACAAAAATTCCACACCGGGGACTTCCCTGGTGGTCCAGTGGCTACGACTCCGTGCTCCCAATACAAGGGGCCAAGGTTCAATCTCTGGTCAGGGAACTAGATTCCACATGCCACAACTAAGTTTGCATGGCACAGCTAAGAGTTCACAAGCTGCAACTACAGATCCTGTAAGAAAGATCCAGTGCAGCCAAATAAATATTTAAAAAAATTCTACACTGGCTACCGACAGCCAGGCCCCCAAAACAAAATCTCCAGGGAGAGGGGAAGCACCCACAAAGCCCCAATGACACAGTGAGGTTGAAAGCCTCCATCTAGACCTGTGCTGTCCCAAAGGTAGCCTCTGCCACACAGATGCAGCTAACACCCAATACAACTGACCTGCCAATGGGAATGTTTTAGACACCAAATACTTAATGTTACTAAATAGTACAAAGACTATCCCGGGGTTTCCCCCAAGAAGCTGGCAGGCTCTTCATTCTTTTTCCTGACAGCACTGGCTGCTCCCCTCAAAGCTGTCCCTGTGCCAACCCCTGCCTTGTTTCTACCATACGGATCCCAGACCATTAGGCTTTCTAACCACCCACTGGCACCCTCCCTAGTCCTAAAATGTGTGCACTCCCGCCAGCTCCACTTCTGGGCACACTCATCTCTCAACTCTACATGCCTCCTGACTCCCCACATCTCTGGGTGCTAATGAAATTCCCCTCACTCTGAAGGCCCAACTCAAATCATCCCCTCTCCCCTGGCCCCAGTGAGCTGCTCTGTCCAATTAGCAGCCACTTAATGTCTGTGGTTGTGTCAATTTACACTGAAGTTATTCAAACACAATTAACAGTTTGGTGCCCCAGTCACATGAGCCTCACACCCCGCCCAGGGACTGCATACCCAGTTCCCATTCAGTCCACCACCAGAAAGCAAGCCCTCCACTCAGCTTTGCCATGGTGAAGACTTGGCTCTCTCTCTCCTGCCCCAACTTCTGAGGTTCAAGGCCCCAGATGTGGTGAGCAGTCAAGGTTGTTGGTGGATGTGCTTCTTCACTCGAGACCCAGAAGCCAGGACAGAGCTCTGCCCACTGAACCCATCCACAGCCTGCCCTCACCTTCCCTTTCCAGCTCCTCCTCGTCCACAGCCACCTCCTCCTCCTCCTCGCCTGCCTCCTCTTCTTCCTCCAGGGTGAAGGACAAGCTGGAGATCTTCCGCTTGGCCTCCTTCTTGCGCTCCTTTTCTCGCAGCTTCTCCAGCTTCCTGCCAAGGCACGGGGGGCTACCATGCATGTCCCCACCCCTAAGGCCCATTTCCCGACCCAGAGCCACCTGTGTACTCAGTGCAGGGCAGGTCCCAGGCAGTGCAGACCCAGAGTCCTACTGCCCTGGGTCCCTTCAAGTTCACCAGCAGGGCTCTGACCCCCATTGCCCCCCCCCCCACCCGGCTTCCATAAGCAGGAATGGCCTCACCCGCCCTCAAACACGAGCTCCATCTGGAGGGGAGGACCCACAGCTGCAGCTCCTTCGACTGCTCCTTCTTGGCGAGTTGTTTCTCCCGCTCCTTCACCAGCGCCTCCTGCTTAGCCTTCATGTCGTTCAGGGTCACAAGACCTGTGAGTCAAGGAGACAGGGGGGTGAAAGGTGGTCACGCAGAGCGAACCATGCAGCAGGCCTCAGGCCGGGAGAGGGGGCACGAATGCTTTGCGTACCCACAGTGCTGGACTTGAGCTCGGCCTCCACGGCGTCGTAGTGCGCAGAGAACTTCTTGTCAATGTTGGACTTCATTATGTTCTCCTGTCCGGGAGGCAGAGCAGGGATGATGGCCACTTGCCACCCCACCGTGGAAGTGGGGACCTGGGTTCTCATCCCAAATGGGTCCTTAGACTATGATGTGGCCTTGGAAAAGACATGGCCCCTTTGCCTGATGGAGGGTCCCACGGGGCTGTGAGAGGCTCTTCCAAGTGCCCAGGCAGCCAAGTGGGGTGGTTTCCCTGCACTGTTCTGGTCTGTCCACATATCCCGCTCACTCAGTAGCCTGGATGCGTGGGTCCTACCTGCCGTTGGTGTTTTTCACACCCAGCTCTTGAGCTGAAGCTCTGGAGACCCAAGGCAAGGAGTGACAAGAAGAAGCGGAGAGCAGCTGGGGGCCTAGACCCTCACTGAGCAGTGTGGCTCCCTCATGAGGCTCCCTCGCTCCAGGCCTGCCCCATTCCACTGCATACCACTGTATGGACCTCCACAGAGAGATGAACCTCTGGCCACACAGCAACAGCCAGGTTGGGGTTTGAGTGTAAACTGAGGCAGCAGTCGGGCCTCAGCGTGCAGCCACTTCTCGGCTGCCACGGGACCCAAGGCCCCCAAAGACAAGTGGGGTGGCCCATCGCCAGCGGCCACTCACAGAAGCCCTTAGTGAACCGCTAGCACCCAGGACCCTCCTGCCTGCCTCTGTTAGTTGAAACGGGTTCAGTGGCCGGCAGAGTGGTTGGGGCCCCGCCCTTCCCGATAGCCACTGAACCCAGGCGGAGGCCTGACTCTCGGGGCTGAGGGGTCAGAGAGACAGGAGGATGCTCTCTATCCTCGAGGGTCGCCCCAACTGCCACACATGGAACCACTGAATGTGGCTGCTTCCTGTTGCAGGCCCGTCACAATCTAGCTCGACTCAGCCTTCTGGGCCCATTTTACAGAGGAGCAGACTGTCGCCGGCCCGCTTCCGCCCCTTGTTGGAGATCGGCGAGCAACGTTCCCACCCCAACCCGCCGCCCGCACTCAGTCCCGCCTCCCAGGGTCGCGCGGGGTCCCGGGGAATCGGGGCGGAGGTTCGAGCGCCTGCTGTGAGGGGCCCCGGCCCGGCCCGCACCTCAGCAATCCTCTGCTTCATCTGCTCCATCTGCTCGCGCTGCTTCTCCCGTTTCTTCATGAGGTGCATGGCGCGGCCCGCCTCGCTGGCGGCACCCTTGTACTGAGCCATGGCGGCGGCGGCGGCGGCGATGATGGACTGGCTGGGTCTCCGGAGCTGAAGCGGCTGCGAAGACAGCGGCTCGGTTCGCTGACGCCCGCCCCGTGACGTCAGTCACCAGGGGTCAAGTAGCCGCCTCGCCCCGCCTCTCCCAGACACGTGATCACCGGTAGCCCCGCCCCATAGTGGCCCAGCCCCGCCGGCCTTTGGAGGCTGGACGATCCCGCTCTTCCTAGCTTCCCTATCAGTTTCATAACAATAAGCCCCGGCCTGAGGCTGGGTCCCCAGTCCTACTTCCTTCTGTTGACCCCAAAGCTGCCCCCACCCTGGACCCTTCACTTCTTCAGTGTTTATCTCAGTCTAAGGGTAGATCCCCTCAGTCCCCTTGCTGCCTCCCTGCCTGAAGCCCCTCTGGTTACTTCTGCTTCCTTGATTTTGACTCCTCTCCCAGGACTGGGCCCCAGTCCTGTTTCCCCAGGCCACGAGACTGGGCCTGAGTCCCCTCTGCCTCCTCCTCTTCCTCCTTGGCCTGAAGGTAGGGGCCCTGTGCCTCTGCTTCCGCCACTTCAACCCTCACCCCAGGCCAGACCTGTCTCCCATTTCCCTCACGTTGACCCCCCAAGGGTTGGAGTCCTAGTGTCAGTACTAGCTCAATGTGTGGCCTTGGGCAGGGTGATGTGACCTGCTCCCTTTAGTTCAGAAGCTCTGCAGTTCCCTGATGACGGAAGTCACCTTTTATAGCCATCGGGAAAAAAGCTAAACATGCAGTCCCAAGCCTGTGTAGGAGAGCAGGGCAGCCCATGGAGCCAAGGCCCTGGCCTGAAAACAGCTTTGAGAAGAAAAAACTAAAGATCTAGGCTCAGATTTCAACACAGTTTTATTGGGAGAGTTTGTTTTCTGTGAAATACACTAGAGGATGGGGAAAGGGACACATTCACTTTGCAAGATAAGGATTTCCCACCACTAATGGGAAGGAATAGGGGCGGGCAGGGCACAGGGGATTTGGATCCATTTTCCCACCTCCTTCTGCTTTGTTCACAAGTCTTTTCTCTCTCAGCCAGTACCAGTGGACACGAAGACAAGAAACAAAAAAAGATCAACCTCCAACGGGGCCACACCCAAGCCCTCTCCCTTCCCAAGCTGCGCCAGGGTTGCCAGGGTCAGGCGGGGCCCGGCCAGGGTAGCTGTTCCACAGCCCCAGGGCACATCGCGAGGCTGCAGGGGACAGGGCTCCCTTCTCACACAGGGTGGGCCAAAGTTAATAAATTAGAATAAATTATGGGGGTGGACTAGGGAAGGGAATGTAACTTTGTGCTGGGAGGGCCCCTTCTTTCCAACACACTAGAGTTGGTGGGGGGAGGCAGGGGGCATCTCCAAAGGCCACTACAGTAGGGGGTAAGAGCAACGGGGGCAGAAGTCAGCTTTCCTCCATGTTCTTCCCAAACAGAGCAGAAGAATTAGGGGTGGGGGGAAGATACACACACAAGGAGAGGAACCCCCTTTTCCCAGGATAAGGAAGGGCCAAGAAGGAGGATACTAACCAACCACCCCCTCCCCCCCGTCTCCCAAACCATCACTAAGGTTAAGGATTTGGTCAGTGAATCAATGAGGTGGGTGACAGGAATGTGGTAGGGGAAGCAGAAGATGCTGGAAACAGGGATGCCCAGCCACACCCATCTCCCCAGCCTTCAAGGAGAACAGACTCAGGTTGGGGGAGAGGGCACCAGGGGTTGGGCTAGGAGTCAGCCATCACTGGTCAGCTTCCCCAAAGACATCATTCTGTTTGCGCTTCATGTTCTCAAAGTCAAAGGCGGAGCCTGCCATGCGCTTGTAGATGTCTTTGATGTCGTTGCAGGTTGTCTCAAAGTGTGTGGTGGCGTCATAGGAACAGGAACAGAACACCTGGAAACAGCCAGCGCCCAGGGCCCAAGGTGAGAAGGACAGGGGCCCTGGGCCGGCAGCCAGGAGCCAGGGCCGGGACAGGCTGCTTACCTGGCTCTCGGAACCGTCATCGATGGGCTCATACAAGTCACTGATGGCCACAAACCTGAGGAGCAGATGGAGAAACTGAAACAGGTCTCAGGATCAGCCTTGCCCTCCCTGATGTCTGCCCTCCAGCTCCCTGGCTCCCTTCCTCCCCCCAGCTCCAGCCCCCCAGCCCCTCACTTCTGGTCAATGGGCTCCAGCAGCTCCAGGGCCGGCTCAACCTCCTTTTCGGGATCTGTGGTCTCCACTGTGGTGCTGGCGATGGCAATGTACTTGCCCTGCGCGGCCACGTTGTGTGCGTAGGAGATCATGCACACGTAGATGTCTGCCCACAAGAAAGCCTCCGTTAGCAGGGGCACGTGGGAGGCTCCTGGGGGCCAAGCTCAACTTGGGCCCTCCTGCCCCTCCCCAGCCCTGCAGAGCTGGCCACATCCCAGCAGCCACCCTTGTGGAAAGGAAGTGTCCCTCCCTAGGGCCTCAAGGCATGGGGACCATGATGTGGATCCCTGCTCTTCTGTGGAGGGATCGGGCAGAGAGCCAGCCCATGGGCTGGTGGGGGAGGGTGGCAAGACAGGGCTACCCCGAAGAAGAGAACACACTGGAGGAAGTCGCATGGGGCTTGGCCTACCTGACTTCCTGTTGACCTGGTTCTGGGGGATGATGATTTGGCAGGAGTTGGCATCGTTGGTATTCTTGATCGGGTGGCTGAGGATGCAGATGATACGGATAACCTGGCCAGCCTTCCTCACGCGGTCGGGAACATAGCTGGGGTCACAGATAAGCTGCTTGCAGCGGGCCACCTGTGAAAGCACCAGAAGGCCTTGGCCCTATGCGACCCCCCCTCGATGTCTGAGAGCCAGGACGCCCAGGGAGGGCTGGCAGCTCTGGCAAGCGTGCCACTCCCCAGAGCTGTCACCATCACCCTGCCCACAGCGTACATTCTCCTGCACCTCGGGAAGGTGGGCCCTCAAACACAGCTGTCTGCTGACAGCAGTGACTATCGTCTTCCTCTGGAGCCCCGGTCCCCAGGCTGAGGTGCCCAGCCGAGCTGCAGGAGCTCCAGCAGAGCTAGGGTGACCAGGAAGAGTGTCTCAAAGGACGGGCCAAGCCCTGCCTAGACCAGCGTGCCTGTGCAGCAAGAAGGCTCACCTCGCCCTCGGACTTCACACCCACCACCTTGCCATTCTCCATGATGATGTCGTCCACCGGTTTGTTCAGCATGTACGTCCCCCCGTAGATGGCACTCAATCTACAGTGGGGAGAGGGGCCATGAGAGTGCCTCCTGGGAGACATGGGAACCAGCGCTACCGCATGTCCTGCCCCCAGCAGTGCAGGGCATGGAGAAGGTGGCCTCAGGCAGGCAGACTCAGACCTGGGGGCTCTTTCAAGCTCTGTCACTGCCAGGACCTCAAGACTGAACCTGGAGGGGTCCCTCCTCTCTAGACTTAATGCCAGAAATTTCCAGCAAAGGGCTAGTGTGAGGGTGGCTCTTCAGGGAAATGTCCCAGGGAACAGAATGAATGGCTCTGGAGAATCCGACTGGAGGTTTCAAGGCCACAGGCCCAGTCCTCGTGCCATCTGACTCCAGCCAGGAGCCAAGCAAGCCCCATCTGTGGTCCTTCATCTCTGCACTTCAGTGCCCCCACTGGGCTGCTATCACCCGAGGATGGCAAGAAGTAAACTAAGTCCACAGTGGGAAAGTAACAAAACACAGTGGAGATGCCCAAGAGGGCCCTTTCCATTGTTGGCCTCAGCCTTCTCCACTGCCAACTGACAGAAGCCATGCCCTCACCTTGCAAAGCCTTGGGGCAGCTCGCCAAGGCCATAGAGTGGGTACAGATACGGGCTCTTGCCATACCGAGCCAGGGACTCGCTGTACAACTTGATGCGGTTGATGGTCTCAAGACACGGCTCGTCCAGGTAGCTGGGGGAAATAGGGTCAGAAGAGGCTCCAAGAGCAGAAGGCCCAGTGCACCCCCACCCCAGCATCAGGCCAGCCCTCCCACCCTTGCAGGCCTGGGAAAGACCATGGGTCAAACGCAGGGAAGGGACAGAAAAGGCGACAGGTGAGTGAGCCCAGAGCTGAGTACAGGAGGTAGGCAGGGTGACCCAAGGGAGCAGCAGGCAGGAGCGGGGAGGGCAGGGTGTGGGCCAGTTGAGGGGTTGTCTGCCATGCCAGTTTCCCCTCACTCATCAGTGCGGTAGAGCGCCAGGGCATGGCCAGTGAAGTCAATGACATCCTGGCCCAAGTCGAACTTCCGGTAGACATCACGCATGCTGGTGTTCTGGGGGTCAACGCCCTCAAAGGTCTTGGGGTCGTTCTCATCAAAGTTTGCCACGAACACCAGGAACTTGCGGAAGCGCCGTTTCTCAAACATGCCCATCAGGTCTGCAAGGACCATGTGCAAAGTACCACTGAGGTGCGGGCCGTGAACCTCTCCACCTGCCAGGCAGGCAGAGCAAGCAGGCGCCCTCATTCCCAGCAGAGTTCTCTTGCCAACCACTGTGTGATTTTCAATTAACCCCTCTGTGCTTCTTGGCCTGTTTCCTCAACTGTACCAAGAGTGAGTCTGGCTGGACAGCCTCTGAGGGCCCTCCCGGCTCTGACACTTGGGGATGTTTCACTGATCAGGTGAAGCCCCTGTTAAAAGCTGAAATCTGTCCAGAACAACACATTCCCTTCGCACTTGGACTCCCCTCCTGGCAACCAGTGGGTGCACACAGGGGGATGACAGAGCAAGGGGCTTTTGGTACTGCACAAGAAACATGACCTGCAGCAAGGGCCACCTCGCTCTCGATAGCTGTCCCCCCTTTCCACCCACCCCTGATTCCCTGGTTCACAGGACCCACACTCACTGGAAGCCAAGGCTTCAGTCTCGGTAGATGGTACTTTGTAAATCTTGCCCCCCTTGTAGACAAAGCTGCCCTCCACCACCTTGAAGTCCAGGTAGCGTGTCACCTCTGTATACAGTAGCATCTTCACGAGCTGCCCTGCAGAGTGGCGTGAGCAAGGCAACAAGGTCAGCGTGGCTCCCTTCACAAGCTCGAGCTGGTCTGTCTGCCCCTGGTCTGCAGTCTAACCCTTTTCTGCTCGTCCCAATCATCCCACCCCCCACAATACCTCCTTCATCTCCCTCACCATTGGCCATGAGGAATTTAGGGATCAAGTCAACGTTCCAGTCTCGGCCCCGGCCCATTGTCTCAGGGGGTCCCTCCAGCAACTGAAAACGCTTATACAGCTGTGGGCAGGGGAGGGGGAAGAGAGAGAGACAGAGAGATGCAGCTCAAGGAACTCCCTCCCGCCCCCGCCCCCCACCCAGAAAACCTGGGGAGCTGCTTCATTCAGTCCCCTATGCAAGAGGTTAATGAAGGACAGGCCCAGGCCCGGAGCAACCTACCTCCTCCAAGGGGGTGATGGAGGAGCTCTCGCCCCCATAGTAGGGGTTCCGGTCCATGTGCAGCACCTTCTTCCCGTTCACAGACATGATACCCGACAGGATACATTCCTGAGCGAGGGGCAATGTTCACTGCACTTCCATCTGCCCACATTCCCACCAGCAGCCCTGACCATGTTTCCCCACTCCAACCCTGAGGGGAGAGTCAACCTGAAGGGCCTCTGCCTCAACACACAGCTCCTTGCATCTGTGGCTGGTCACTTTGCCTAAATTGGGGGGGGGGGGGAGGCGCTTCATTTGACCACGGTTTCGTTTTATAACCTTGCTGGGCAAAAAGGTGAACAAGGAAGAGGGTATCCAGTAGGCACATGGATGGTCTTCAAGCAACCAAGATGCCAAGAAAATCACCTATAGACTTAGAAGCCCACAAAAAGGCAGATAAAACACAGGGATCGCCTAGCTGGACAAGCAAAGGACACGAAAGGGAAGTAAAGAAAGGCTTAGCATGGTGCCAAAATCCGAGGCTCCACCCTGGGCCGCTTTCCTCAAAGAGAAGCCCCTGACCCAGAGCCTTCCCAGCCACAGTAGGGGCTTCCACACCCAACTGTGGGAGAGGCCTCTCTCAGGGAGGCAGTCCAACAGGGTTCGGGGGAGGGTAAACACCCTCACCAGTCACTGTCACCAGCCCAAGGACAAAGGCTGCAAATACGTCTCAGCCCCGAGGTCTCCATGGGAAACCGGGGTGGGGTAGCAGGAATGTGGTCACGGTCCTCACCGCGGCTCCTTCTGGAACATTCCCTGGGTCCTCGGGCCCCCTGAGAACCTGGGGAGGCAGGATGAAAGCCTACCCTGCCGAGTCCACCCCCCCAGCCCCGACCTGACCGGAGGTCCCTGTACCACGACATCCCCATCAGAATGAGTGCAAAATGAGAGGGGATTAAGCTGGTCCTGGGTAGGGGCCGGAGGTCGGGCCCGGGGAATAGGTCAAGAGAGACAGACAGAAAAGGGGCCGCTTCTTGGGAGACCGGCCATGACAGGGATGGAGGCCGCATCACGGGGGCTGGGCACGGGGCTGTCTTTTCGGGGACCGAACAGCGCCGCGCCAGCACTGAGGGGAGGATGCGGCCGGGGGCTGCAGCATCCCAGGGAGGAGGAGAGGAGGCGCCCTGGACGTTGGAAGGCGCACTTACGGTGAGTCCGGTCCCCAGTACGATCACGTCGTATTCCTCGTCCATGGTCAGGCCTCAGTGTCAGCGCCCGTCGGCTCCTCCTCCTCCTCCGCCACAGCCGCCGCCGCCTCGGCCGCCGCCTCGGACGCCGCCGCCGCCGCCGCCGCCGCAGTGGACCAAAGATGGCGGCGCTTTGGCGTCTCTCGACCCTTCCGCCACGTCAAAGAGTCCCGGCCCCTCCCCTCCGCCGCCGCGCCTACCGGGGGCCCCTGCCGTCCCCGCTTGCCTCCCGGGGAGGGTTGCTGGGGCCCGGGCTCTAGCACTCGCGCCACTCGGCGGGCCGCGCCGCCTCGCCGAGGGCCTCGAAAAGAGGGCGGTGAGGCGGGGCGGGGCCGCCTGGCAGACGGTGCTGAGGCCCGCCAGGGATCCGTGCGCGAGAGCCGCGCGCGCCCCGCCCCGGGAAGCTCGGCGTGGCCCCGCCAGCTGGGCGCGCGGGGCTGCAGCAGCCCAAGGCGGGCCCCTGGGGACGTGGGGGCGACTATTGTCGTGGCCGTCTCCCCCGCCTCCCTCTCCCGGGCGCTGACGGCCCCCGCCCTCCCCTAGTCGTTGAGGCGGGGTGGGGGGGTACCCAGTTTGCGAACGACCCTCTCGGCCTCTCCTGGGTCCCTGGAAAAGCAGCCCGCGGGGCGGCCTCCATCTCTCCATCCTCGGGCCCCTCTCTCGGCCGTCAGCCAAGCGCATCCTCCCTTCCTTGTGCCCAGTGCAGAAATAAGTGACAAGAGGCCCAAGCATGGCGACCCGTCTTTATTTTATTCGGAAGGAAACCACGAGCACCCCGGGGCTCCTGCCGGGTTCTCCCGACAGGTACAGGCCCCAAACCCCGTGATCACACCCAGCCCACCTGCCATAGAGGTCCCTTCCTTCTTAGGCCAAAGGAATAAACCCCAGTGTACGGCTTATTGTTAGCACATCACCAAAAACTAAATCAATAACGCCAGCTAAGCGGGACAGACAAATAGTACTTCCACACTCCCCGCCCCCCCCCCAAACTCAGGTAATGGAACAGCTCCTGGCTGCTACAAGGAACCCCACAGAGCCTGGGAAGGGAGGGCTGGCTACACAAAAGCACTATCAACAGCAAGAAGCGAAGGTGGAGAAATGAGAATAAATAAGGAGAAGGGGGGGTGGATTTTGTAGAACTAACAGCCCCTACATTTATAATGATCAAGCCTAGGAGATCTGTCTACTATCTATGCAGAAATATATACACCTTGTGAAGAGAGATGTGGTGGGGAGTGGGCAGTCCAGGGAAGACCCTCAGCAGCTTGAACAGGTAGCCTGACAAGCTAAGGGGAGCCAGGGAGTCATGCGATGGCGTAAGAGGGAGAAGCCTTCCTGCCCAGTGGGCCTCTGATGGGGAGGTGACAACCTGGACCCCAGCCACGCCCTCAACCCCTGGCAGGTGTGGAATCACACAATCTGGGTCAAAACAATGGTGGGGCCCTTGTGGTCATCGAAGCGGTCCATGGTCTTGAGGCTGAGGATCATGTGCAGGCCGTAGGTGAAGATGAACAGCATGAACAGGGAGGTGAGCAACCCCATCCAGATACCCGGGGAGAAGAAGCCTGCACAGTCGCTAGCATAGGAGAACTGCTCACCTGTCACGTTGAAGGCCTGGATCTGAGGGACAGAAAGCACTGAGTGGCCCCCACCTGGAGAGGCCCGGTAAGGGCTGGGGGTTCCCCAGCTGGTGGGAAGAGAGCACCAAGGGGACGGAACTCTAAGGTACATTCCCAGGCCCAAACCTGAAAGAACCTGAGACCCTTCGCAGGCCTCTGCTGCCCCCCAACCCCTCCTCCAGCCAGGGCTCCCCCACTCTCAGACACAGTCCCTCCTCTCTTCCTACCTGGAAGTCCCGAAAAGTCATCTGCCAAAGAGAAGGCTGCGTGTCAGGCACAAGGAGGTTGCCATCCTTGTTTTCACTGCTGACATGCTCGCAGTGGAAGGAATAAATACTGGGCCCCGTGACCTGGGAGGCATTGAAGTAGGCGACGGAGCCATTGCTGTGGATTTCCAGGTTCTCCAAGGTAAACCAGTGCCGGGCAGACACCGGGTAGAAGCGGTTAGCCAGCGTGAACCTGGGGTGGGGGGGTGCCGCAGGGGGGTCAGGCAGCTGGAGAGGCTGGAGCCACAGCAGCCCACCCACCCCTGCCTCTCAGACTCACTTGAATGTCACCATGGTCCCAAAGAGTGAGTCATAGGTCAGCACCAGCCTGCGGAGGAAGAGGAGTTTTCAGACTCTGGGATGGCCTTGAAAATACTTCCGAGCAAGGCCCTCAGGTCTCCTACTTGAGCTGCACCGGGTCCTCCCACAGAGCCACCTGAAGAACCAGCACCCTCGATTGACAGATAGGAGACCTGAGGCCTCATCCCTTTCCAAGTCAGGAACCAGGTAGCACACAGGTGCCCCACCTTGCGGAGGGCTCCTTCCTCTCGGTTCCCTGAACCCCCAGACTCTCTCTTGGGGTTGCTGAAGGTGCTCAGGTTGGGCCGTGAGGCTGCCCAAGGGGGTGGCACCGGGATCCAGGGTGATTAGGAACTGTTAACAACCAAGGCCCCAGCTAAGGACGAGAAGGCGTGAGCAGGCAGAGCTCTGAGCAGCAGCCCCACCCCACACCACCACCTGCGTCCTCATGCTGAACACCCCCAAACACAGACCCAGGCAGGGGCACACACTTTGCCCTCACCTGGCAATGGAGTCGTTCCAGGAGGAGCCAGTCAGGTTGAGGTCCTGGACCCCAAAGGTGCGGGAGGTCAGGTCCTCCCAATGCTCCCCGTATGCCACTGAGAAGTTTTGAGCCCAGAAGAGGATCCGGGGGGCAGTGTCATTGTAACTTACGGGGGCATTGATCGCAGGTGGTGCCACCGTTCTCTGCAACAGCTGGCGACCTAGCCCCCCAGTCACCATGGCTACATCGCGGGCCACCTGCAAATAAGAGCCCACAAAACCTTCTCAACAGCCCTGGGGGTGGGCGCTGAACCAGATAGCCTGCCCGTCCTCTCCCCACTGGGCACCATCTCCGGTCCCACCAGTGATGTTCATAGGCAAAAGCTTCCTCTGAGCAGCTTTCCCCTAAGCCTCTGTGACACTGCTAATCTTTGCAACTTTGGAACACTTGGACTTCATGTCCGAAGACACCAGCCTGTAAGGCTGATGGGACGAGATGGCCAGTGGTCGCCTGACTTTGTGGCTCATCCATGCCCCCCACCCCTACACCTGCCCAGAGGAGGAACCAGCCCCCCTCCAGGCTCCCCGGCCACACCTCCTGGAGCCCTGGGCATGGGCACATACCCTAGAAGGGCGGACCGCCGTAAGGCCTGCCGTGTAGGGGATGTCTTCTGACTTGAGTGTGCTCAGCACCTGCCCAATGACCTCATCTGAGGGGCCAGGGGGAGAACAGAGATGCAGGTCAGAGGCAGCCCTTCAGAGCCACTGTACCCAGCAGAAGCCGGGAGGGGCAAGCTGTGCCCTTCTATGCCCCTCTGGGCGCCTTCTCTGGATGGCGCTCTGTGAGATCACCTTGTGGAGGTGGGCACCCCTAGACGTCTCCACTGTGAAGCCCTTCCCACCCTAGCAACCAGCATGTCCCCGGGTGGGACACCGAGCCCCTCCAAGAGCCAGCTCCCATCAACCCCCAGTAGCGTTTTCCATTTCAGCAGCCACTTCTCATCCCACCCATTTCCAGCCTCCCCTGGGATACCATGGCCCCAGTCACCGCCTCCCCCAGGTGGACAGAAAAAAGACAGACTGCTACCAAAAATGCCAAATCCACCATGGCCAGTTTCTGGTGACCTTTCTGGGAGGAAGAACTGTCCTCTCTAGTGCAAGGGAGACAAGTTCTCAGAACAGGTGTTTGAAACAGTGCTGGAGTGTTAAACCCCCAGACCTTAGGATGCAAGCTGCCTGGGTGGAAGCTGGCTCCAGGCTGTGTGGAAGAGGCCCCTGGGCATCCAACACTTGGGCCGAGGCCTGGGGACCTTGCCCAGCTGCCAGGGGCTCGGAGAAGCAGCCAGGCCCCCTGGGAGCACCAAGGGGCAGAGGAACCCAGGCCAGCTCCGTATGGCCAAGGGCTGGATAAAAATGGAAACTGCACCTTCCCCGACCCTGCTCACCATTGCCCGTGAGGACTTCCTTCGGTGCCATCAGACCCGAGCTACGGAAGAGACAGAAAGTTCGAGCCACCCAAATCCTGATGGCTCTCTGCCACCCGTTGGACTGCCTCCTGAAGCCCCTCCAGGCCCTGTCATTCCCTGGTATAGCCCTGCCACCTAGCACACTCGAACTGGGCCTCCAAGAGCCACACTCAACACCACCAGTCCCCCCTCCCGGGACCTCTGCTCACCTCGTGGCCCTGCCTGGAATCCCCTGCACCTTCTCCCCCAGCTCCGGAGTCCCGATCACTTCCCTGCCACCTTTCCATGAACAGTCTCCGCTAGGCAGGCTGGTTCCCCGCTAGCGAGGCCCATGCCTGGCTCATCTCAGGAGGCCCTAGAGGCCTAGCTCAATGTTGGGCACTGACTCCCAAGTCCCAACCCGGCTGGAGGGCCTTCCTGCCTCTTCTGTCCAGACAGACGCCCTCTGGGAGGGCCTCAGGGTGCTAAGTGGAGGACTGCTCGCCTGGACAGAACTGTGCCCCCAGAGCTTGGGACCTGAGGCTAGAGGCCCAGCCATACCTGGCTGTGTAGGGCAGGCGGATGAGCAGCAAGGCCGGGATGCTGGCGTTGAGCTTCAGTTCCCGGAGAGTGGCCAAGTCCACATGCAGGGGGCTGGCCCCGAGCTTCTCCTGCAGGTAAGTGGTCAGAGTGCTGACTGCATACCAGTCAACGGCAGGAAGCACCAGAGAGGAGGGGGCCAGGTCCAGGGCATTCTGGGGACAGGTGAGAAATGGGCAAATGAGTTAGCAAGGGGCCACGGGACCAGGGCCAGCCACCCAGACCTTGGTGGCAAGCCAAACCTACGCCAGGTCTCACTCCAGGTAAGAAACAAAACACGCCACACCCCTGGACCTGACACTCAACCTTTCCCTGTCGAGCCAACGTCTCTGGTTACTGAGGGGACAGTTCCTATTATGATGGTGGAGGGGGGCACAGAGTAGCCTCCAGGGTCACCGGCTGAGTGTGGACTCTTACCTCCAGGTTAGAAAAGGCGCTGTCTTGCTTGTTTCCAAACACGCCACCATATGCTGTGAAGTCCTCAATGCTCAGCTAGTAGAAAGGAGGGAAACAGCCTCAGAAGGTTGGATGGATGTGGGGCCAGGGCAGGGGGAAGACACTGGCCCTGGGCATTTTTGCAGGGCCAGCAACATCTTATTTAGAAGCAGGTTTGATCTGGGGCATGAGGGTGTGTTTTAGGGGCAGGGGTGTGGAAGGTTCTATTTCTTTACACCAGTAACACTCTCAGCAGGGCGAGAAGACAAGGAAGGCGGTCATGGGGTTGAGAGAAATGTGTGGGCAGCTGGCTCGTGATAACCTCAGGAGTAAGAGTCAGCAGCCTGCCTGGAGATAAGAGGAACTGCGACAGAAGAGGGAAGCTGCAGGGAGGGGGCTGGGGGAAGCCAAGAACACTGACTGCATGCCCCCGGGGCAGAAGGCCCAGAAAAAGAGAACCTACATGCCAGCTGCAACAGCTGGAGCCGCCTCTGTCCAGTGTGCACAGGACCCTTTGCAAAGGAGGGTGAGAAGTCCCTCCTCCCTGCCCTGGTTTTGGTGGAAGGGGACAGAGGTGAAGATCTCAGAACACACTGGACCGACCACTGAAGGCTTCTGAGCACTCTGGACCACAATCACCCTGACCCCCATCCTTCTAATCTCCACAACTTAGGGATGTCCTTCAACTTCTGCTCTCTGCCCCAACTCCCAGCTTCCTCTGGTTTTTCCCAGGGAGGCCCAGAGGTGATTTTAGTCAGCTTCCCTGATGTCATCGTGTTTAGTATACACACCTGCCCAGCCTCCTTGCCCTTCTGGGCAGGAATCCTGAGCCTCTCTGGCGCCAAGGCTATCATTCCGAAAGCCTGTGTACACTCCCTGTTCGAAATCACCCAAGGCTTCCTGCCACATTTTATAACTGTGACCAACCCCTTTCCCCCTCATCTCCAGGCTCCTCAACTGACCATCTCCTACGCCTTTCTCTCTCTCACTGTACTCCAGCCACACCAGCTCTTCTACCAGGAGTATTCCTCGCCCAGGCCCTTTGCACTTGCTGTTACCTCTGCCAGGAATGCATACCTTCCTCCCGCAGCCACATGGCTCCATCTCTACCTCCGCTTAGATCTCTGCTTCAATACCACCTCCTCAGTGAGCGCTTGCCTACTCCCTCTTTATCTTACACAGCATTGCCAGTCACTCTATTCTCTGAGTCTGCTTCCTTCTTATCTAAGTGCTGACTTTATGTCATACCAACTTAGCATCTACGTAAACCTCTCACCCTCACAAGAGTGTTAGCTTCTTTGGAGTAGGGGCTTGAGTGATTCTGCTTATTTCTATGTCCCCAGCACTTAATCAATACCTGGCACAGAGTAGGTAGTCTATATTTGACAAATGAATGAATACCATCAGATGGCGGTGGGGGGGCACTAGCCAGATATTTTACATGGACTATCAGAATTGCTCCTCGCCCTCTGATGTCAGTGGTGTCTTTTTACAGATGTGGAAACTGGCATTTGCAGAGTATTTCACATGTCCAGTAAGCAGTAGAACTAGAACTGAGTTCCAGTCTGATTATGTTATTCACCATCTCCTGGAAGGACTACAAGCCAGCACAGCTACCACCCCCTGCCCACAAAGCAAGATCACAAAGGGAATGAGCCAAACGGGCCACCAATGAGGAACAGACAAGCAGAAGCTCAATAATCTCGCAAACACTAATCCTACACTGCCCTAGAATCTTCTTGTGGTCTGCATACCTGCTTTAGGGGCAGAAATGCCCAGATGGGAGGGTAAACAGTGTGCTGGGTATAAGCACAAAATCATAGTGGGGGAGGAGTGCCCAACAGACTCAAGCTGGAATAACCTGGGGCTTGCACAAGCCATGAACTTCAGCTGATCCTACAACCCTTAGCTCCTTAGGCAGTAAAACCAAGATAATGACATCAGCTCAGCTAGTATGAATGAAGCACTCAGTAAGTGATCTATCATTCTTCCATTCTCTGTCTTACAATCATTACAGTCAGAATCACAACTCTGCCACCCATTAGCTATGTGACCTTGGGCAAGTCACTTGCCATCCTTGGGCTTTTCATCTGTAAACAGGGTTCATCATCTCTGCCATGTAATAAGTCAGGCAAGGGTTTGGCACTCAATCAGCATCTGGCCTCTGACCCCTTATTTCCCCCAATCAAGTGGGTGCCATTTCTGGGCCCTCATTATTCCCATGCTTGGCAGAGTGGCTCAGTGGAAACGTGTTGTGCCCATAACCCAGAGGTAGATGGATGGAAACCATCCTTTGCTAGCTTCCCAGGTGGCGCTAGTGTTTAAAAAAAAAAAAAAAAAACAACCCCGCCTGCCAGTGCAGGAGACATAGAGAGATGTGGGTTTGATCCCTGGGTGGGGAAGATCCTTTGGAGGAGGGCATGACAACCCACTCCACTGTTCTTGACTAGGGGCATCCCTGGTGGCTCAGACTGTAAAGAATCTGCCTGCCAATGCAGGAGACCCAGGATCGATTCCTGGGTTGGGAAGATGCCCTGGAGGAGGGCATGGCAACCCACTCTCCAGTATTCTTGCCTAGACAATCCCATGGACAGAGGAGCCTGGTGGGCTATTAGCCCATAGAGTCCCAAAGAGTAGGACACGACTGAAGTGACTTAGCAGGCACGCACCATTCCCTCTGAACGTTCTTCCGCAGGCCTTCCCAAGGAAGGAACCACACCTCCCTGCAGTTTGGACAAGGTCACTGCAGCTTCCCTCGGGGAATGGGCCTCATTGTCCTGGGGCAGAGGGGCTGTCTCCTGAATGAGGAAGGGAGAGGGGGCTGGGGGAGGCGCACCTTGTCCTGCAGGAACAGCAGCACATTTCGGGGTCCCAGCTCCACGGCGGGGTCTAAGTAGGTGGAGAGCTGCATGTCGCTGGTGATATGGCCCTCGTGGGTGTCGGCCGCAGGAGCCCACAGGCCTCTGGCAGGGGATAGAGAGGTGCTGTCAAGTGGGGGCTTGAGATCCGAAGCCCGTGGGCTCCCAGCTTGATGCCTGGGGCCCAGAGCCAGCGCTCTTGCTACAGGCCTCCGAACAAGGGACAGCCCCCCTGGGCCTCGCCGCCCCCCGCCAAGGACAGCCCCGGAGTCGAGCGAGGGCACCTCAACCGCCGCGGCGCACAGCGCAGCCCGCCCCGCTCACCGGTCACTCGACCACAGCACCAGCGGCACCTGCTGCTCCGACGCCGCCGCCGCCGCCGCCGCCGCCGCCACCAGCATCAGCGGCAGCCATGGCATCTGGCAGAGCACTGGGGCCCGCCGCGTCCCCGCTCGCACCCGAGTCGCCGTTGTCGCCGCCATCATAACCTCTCGGCCTCCACTGCCAGGACCTACCGCGGCCGCCGCGGATCAGGTGACCGTCGCCCCCGCCCGAAGTCCGCCTTGAGCTGCCATTGGTCTGGGTGCAAGACGGCTCTCCAGGCTCTCAGGTGATTGAACGATGTGGCTGTCATTCACAGCCTCTCCTTTTCGCTGATTGGCTCTATGGGTCTCCGGGCGCGCACGCTCCAAATAGTCAAGGGGGCGGGGCAGCGCTCCTCTGGTTCCCACAGCCCGCCTGCCAATCTGCGGATTCAGGCGGCTGCGACCCGGCTGAAGGTACTGGGCGGGGTGGGACTCTGCTAGTCCCCGCAATCATGGCTAACTTCTCCCTGTTTTAAAACTTCAGCGTCAGGGTCTTTTCCAATGAGTCAGTTATTTGGCCACCTGATGCGAAGAACTGATTCCTTTGGAAAAGACCCTGATGCTGGGAAAGATTGAAGGCGGGAGGAGAAGGGGATTACAGAGGATGAGATGGTTGGATGGCATCACCGACTCAATGGACATGAATTTGAGTAAACTCCGGGAGTTGGTGATGGACAGGGAGGCCTGGCGTGCTGCAGTCCGTGGGGTCGCGAAGAGTCGAACCGACTGAGCGACTGAACTGAATGCTTAGAAGAGCAAGAGTGCTTTCTTTTTCCCGCAGTTGGACCCTCCGTTATACAGGTAAGGAGAGAACAGGACGCCCAGGAGAGTGTCCAGAGAAACACCAGCACTTACTAGGGGCAGGGAGGACGATCCAGAAGAAAGATCGGAGAGTAGCATCAAGGAGGAGGGGAAAAACCCTGGGAAGTTTCAAGGATGCCATGAATAACAGTCAGTCTCGACTGCTGCCAGGAAGCAGGTAAGATGAGGACAGAAAACTTTCTTGTACTTCGGAACACCAGTTTGGTAAGAGCGATGCCATTGTGAGGAAGTGGAGACACAGCGTCGATTGTTCCTTTCTCAAAGTTTGCCTTCAAGAGAGGAAAGAGAAAGCTAGAGCCAGAAGATGTGGGACATCACCTCAAATGAATTGGGAGACTTTCATCTTTCTCTGTGCCTCTTTTTTTTTCTCTTAATATATATATTTTGTGTGTGCTTACAAAAGCAGGTACAAAACACTTACAATGTTTCAGGTGCACAACTCCATGATTCTTATACATATATGTTACTTTTATAATAGACATATCCATTATTGTTAGGTTATTTTCCATTATAGATATTTCAGATAATTTTCCATTATAGGTATTCCATTAGAGATATTGACAAACTATTGACTATAGTTACCTATGGTATACAGTAAACCTTTGTTGCTTGTTGCACATCTATTTTTTAATTAGAATCTAGAAATAAAAAAAAAGAAATCTAGCAATCTATTCATACTAAGTCAAAAAAGTGGAATCATAATGTCATGTTTTTTAGCTATATGCCTCTTTTTTTTGCCATAACACGCAGCAGGTGGCATATTAGTTCCCCAACCAGGGATCAAACCCAAGTCCCCTGCATTGGAAGCATGGAGTCTTAACCACTGGACCACTGAGGAAGTCCCTGTCTGTGCCATTTTTCATTTCTCATATTGACGACCATTGGAATCTAGTGGGTGAGTAAATGGGTGCTGTTTGTTGTTTTTTTTTTTTTAACATTGATACATGTACTGAGTTGAAGAGTATCCCTCTAAAATTCATGTCTATCCAGAGCTTGTAAATGTCACTTCATTTGGAAATTAGATCTTTGCAGATGTGATCCAAATAAGGTCATGCTGGAGTAGGGCGGGCCCTAAATCCAATGACAAGTATCCTCCTAAGAAGAGAGAAGTTTAGGCACAGACACACAGGGAAGGCCAATCGATGGTAGAGACAGAGTTTTGCAGCCACAAACTGAGGAGCTCCTGGAACCACCAGAAACTGAAAGAAACAAGGAGAGATTCTTCCCTAGAGCTTTCAGAGGGAACACAGCCCTGTTGACACCTTGACTTTGGACTTCTAGCCTCCAGAACTGGGAGAGAATAAATTTCTGTTGGTTGAAGCCTGCCCGTTTGTGGTAATCTCTCTCTCTCTCTCTTTTTTTTTTTTTGTTTTTGTTTTTGGTAATCTCCTATAGCAGCCCTGGGAGACTAAAACACTAGATGTTTGCAATTTTTCACAATAAAAAATATGGGGAGATGAAAGTTTGATCATGCCCATTGCCAGCAAGGATGTTGGGAAATAGTCTCGACTACACGGTGGTGAAAATATCAACTGGTTGAACTGTTTTTAGAGGATAATTTGGTAGCATCTAACAAACTGAAACCTGTATGACCTTTAACTAAGTGATTTCCCTCTTAGGGATCCATTCAATAGAATTGGGCTTCCCTGGTGGCTCAGATGGTGAAGAGTCTGCCTGCAGTGCGGGAGACCTGGGTTTGATCCCTGGGTTGGGAAGATCCCCTGGAGAAGGAAATGCAACCCACTCCAGTGTGTGTTCTTGCCTGGAAAATCCCATGGACAAAGGAGCCTTGCAGGCTACAGTCCATGGGATCACAAAGAGTCAGACATGACTGAGTGACTTCACTTTCACTTTCAATAGAAATACTCAGCTAACTGCACACAAGGAGAGCTTTTGCAGCACTGTTTGTGGTTACAAAGATGTGGGTATTTGGGGCTGGACATCGGGACACTGTCCAGCCACTGTTGCTGCCATCTCTGCCCCTCAAGTACCATCTCCTTGGCATAATTCAATCTATGTGACTCCCCCACCAACCCCACAGACCTGACAGACCACTGATCACCTCTACTCATCAACTGCTTAGGAGATTGTAATCATGGTTGTCACAAATGTGGCTTCAACTACGACAGTGGCAGTTGAACTGAAGAAAGGAGGTGGGCTTGCCATTGTTGAGGAAGACAGAGACTGGAGGTGGCTCTTGGATCTGTCTGAGTTGGGGACTGGGAGACAAGGTCAGTTGAGGACAGTTAAGTTTGGGTTGTTTGTGGGGCCCCTCAGTGGTAATGTCTGAGTCAGCTGCAGGGAGAGCCTTGTGCTGGAGCTTGCTGTGTCCCCAGAAGCCCGGGAGAGGTTGGAAAGCTTAGGGCCGTGATCTCAGTTGTGTTTAAAAGGGCTAATCTGGCTATGGGAGCAGAACGGATGAGGTGGGGAGAGTGGCAGCAGAGACCAGCAAGAGGCTGCTGTCCTTGTCTGGGAGGAAGGTGATGGGGCTGGACCAGTTGATAGAGGCAGAGGAAAAAGCCAGAGAGACTGCAGAGGCCGCTGCCTCAGCATTAATGTGGGGCTGATGTTCAAGCAGGTGGCATGGTGGCAGGGGCCCTGGGAGCATCTGAAGTGAGAGATTGGAGCCAGGGTAGCTAGCGGATGGGGAAGGGAGAGACCAGAGTCCACGTGCTCGAGTCCTCCCCCATCCTTGCTCTCGCTGTCTGCCTGGGGGCTCAATTGCATCCCCCTGGTCTGTCAATCCTGCTCAGCCTGGTGCCCCAAGGGAAAAAAAAACAGGGATGCCCTCCCCCCAACAGGGCATCACAGCATCACTGAAGTCCAAGTTTCAAGGGAAAGATTTTCTCCAAGGTGTGGCCTTGCTGGCCAGCAGTCTCCTGCTCCCTGTCATTACAGAGGCCCACAGATGCGTTTCTTCTTTGCTCAGTTCCCACAGGTCCCTGGAGTGGTAATCCTCTGGAAGCAGTGGCTACGGGCCGGGCACTGAGTCGGACTTAGGCTCTGCCCTTCAAGTTCCCAATCTGATCTGCAGGAGACGTGACATCAGGGGTCCCAGCCCAGGGTGATGGATGTTCAAAAGGGAGACACACAGGGCTGGGAGGGAGGTGCACAGAGGGGCGCCCACCTGAGTCTGCTTCGAACGCAAGGTGACATCTAAGCTGAGTCCTTCAATACATATTGACAGAACCCATGAGTACCTTCTGTCTGTGGCTTCCTTTTTGGGGGTGAAAGCATTTATTCATGAAAACCCACCTGGGCCCTCACCATCCCTGTGTCTTCTTTTAATACAATATTGGACACATCCCAAAATCAGTGTAATATCTGTGTGCTGTGTGGATTACCTATGTTGCGTAGACACGCATCACCTTTACATTACACACATCACATTATTGCATGTGAAATAGACAATAAAAGGAGCCCCCTTCACCCATCCAAGACTTCACAGAGTGCTTCCAGGTCCTGGGCAAGAATCTTTCTCCCCGAATCCCTTTCTCCTGCCCCTCCCTTCCCCCAGGAAGTAATTGCTAGCCTAAATTTTCTGTTTATTATTCCTTTTTCTCTTAGAGGCTGACCACTTCAGGATGCCCCCCTAAACAGTCTTGTGCTCAGTCTGCTGATACTTGAGCTTGACAAAGGCATCATCCTGCTCATAGACCCACACAGGTGACATGGGGAGCATTGGAGCATCCTCATGGAGTAAAACCAATGCCTGCTTTTCCTCTTCCTTTGGCAGATGCTGGTGCTTCTTACTGTCCCTTGGTTTGCCAGGAGGCTCTTAATGACCTACAGACGCAAGATGTCTCTGGGGCCATGGTCGACGGCCCTCTTGTTCACAATGATTCCGTCACCTTCCCTTTAGGAGCACTTTTCCTTGCCCATTGCCAGCCAGGAGACACACTGCAAGAGGCAGAGTCCGGGTATCAGGAAACCCACAGGCCCCCTGTGGGAATCTTTCAGCACCCTCACTGCAAGTGACTCAGCAATGGAACGTTGCTTGCAAAACCCTGAGCTCCATGCTGTGCCTGCTGTGAGAGAGGTGAAGGGGGGTCACGGCCTCACCCCTGCAGCCCACGTCACCTGGAGTGCTCCCCAAAGTGGAGTCCACACCCTGAGCCCACTCACCCAGGCATCACACAGCCCTCCCAGGCTTGCCTTCCCCCACACACTCCTTGTGTGACTGATAAAGAAAAGTTGCGAAATCTAGATGTCCAGCACAGTGACTTAGCAAAGCAAATTTTGCCTTGGCATCGCCCAAGTCAAGAATTGAAATGTCTACATCCTCATCCCCCTCCCAT